GATTCTTTGTTTCCCCATTTATCCTTATTTTCATAAGGTGCTAAATCTCTGCCCTTTTCTTTTCATTTGTGTTTCCTACTGCCAATGAATTCTCCTATTTTCAAAGTATTTTTAGGCATTGGCATTTTCTTATATTTATACTAGATATTTGGCAACACTACAGTTTCCGCTGGAATAGCACTTAAAGGAAGTTATTTTTTCTTTTTCAGGACATTTTCCTCCTGCTTCTTTTCCTTAATTCCCTTGGATATCCTTTGACATGGTGCATTCGATGTTTAATCAATTTGTTCATTGTGTCGGAACTCTATCAAGGGTGAATAGCATCAATTTATAAAATCATGAAAATCTTTAACTTTGGAGGACAACAATTTTGAGTGGGCAAAAGTTATAGTGGCGTTTAGGCAAATTTCATTCTCTTTAGCTGGATGATGCTGAATCACATGAGTAAACACGACTTCATGATTTTTTCTGTAAATGTATATAAAGATAAATCATTTTTCGTATCCTAGACCAGAAAGGTGAATGCTGTGACTGGAGTTCTGGGCACAATCTCCAGTGCCAATGTCCCTCATGCCCTTGGGATGATGGAGCAGGAGCCCAAGAGAGCTTCTGCCCCAGGTGGAACCAAGATTTTGCCTCAGACCCCTGACCTCTCTCCTGTGTGAGAGGCACTCAGCCAAAATTATTCCTACTGGCATCAAATTCACTTTGAGCAATAGTTTGGCCATGTATTTAAATTATCATTCTTGTTGTTATTTAAAACAGGGTCATGAATATTTGGTTTGGGTGAAGTATGAAAGAAAGGTTAAATATTTGGTTTCTCTTTGGAATCATCACCCATTAGGGCACAATTAAAATGTATCCATCAATCATATCTTTGGTACCAGTCATTGCTCGAGGTGTTTTATTCACATACATTATCTCAGGTGAGCCTGGCCGTGTGAATATATTTTTAATTGCAGTATGTATGTGAGAGAGTGTGTGTGTGTGTTATAGTTGATGTATAATCTTATGTTAGTTTCTGATGTATAGCATAGTGATTTTACATTTACATATATTATGAAATGATCACTTGAACAAGTCTAGTAAACATCTGTCCCCACATAACGATTTTACAACACTTTTGACCACATCCCTTATGTTGCATATGACATCCCAGTGATTTAGTTTTTGTATATTCCCTTCACCTATTTATCCCCTTTAGCATGCTCCCTTCTACAACCACTCATTTATTCTCTGTATCTGTGAGTCTATTTCTGTTCTGTTTGCTTATTTGTTTTTAGATTCAAAATGTAAGTGGAGTCATACAGTATTTTCTTTTCCTGTGTGACTTGTTTCACTTAGGTTCAGTTCAGCTCAGTTCAGTCGCTTAGGTTGCTGCCCTCTAATTCCATCCACAAAGATGAACGTCCTCCTCCGCTCTCCGATTCCTCTCGGCTTCAGTTCATGTGGGAGAAGCAGCACATTTGCTTCTCTCTTTATCAGTAGCATTTCAAAATCATTGAATTGATTCATTAGCATTCTCCAATGGTGGCTAAGATTTTTTTGTATTATTATGAATGTATTATTATGAAATGTAATATTATGAATATTAAACATATTATGTTTAATATGAATTAAACATATTTGATGTATTTGAATGTATTGTAATTACTATTCTTAATAACATCAAATTGTCCCATTTTTAGCCAGTGGGCAGCTCTTCAATTTGGTCCAAATCCAGACCTGACCTACCAGCCTCTGATCACGTTTCTGTTCCTGGAATGGCACACTTTTCTGACTTGGGCATTCCTCTAAGAATCCAGGTACCTGTTGGTGGGGTATGAGTCCTTTGAAGCCACTCTCTCATAGCTGACTGACCTGTTCAACTTGACTCACCAGCTGTTACATCTCAGCTTCCGTATGGATCTTCCACTTGCTGACTTCTGATTGTGACAGTGCCCAGGACTCAGGGGTCTGAATTTTCCTCCTTGCTGTCACTGGCTGAATGACATCATCTAGCTTCATAGCCTTATCATCTCATTTTACAGTCCCACAATCTTTCCCAGTTCAGAATCTTTTCCAAAGAGTTGACTCTTTGCATGAGGTGGTCAATTGGAGCTTCAGCTTCAGCATCAGTCCTTCCAGTGAATATTCAGGGTTGATTTCCTTTAGGATTGACTAGTTTGATCTCCTTGTTATCCAAGGGACTCTCAAGAGTCTTCTCCAGCACCACAGTTCAAAAGCACCAATTCTTCAGCACTGAGTCTTCTCTCTCAGATATGAGTCCAACTCTCATATCTGTACACGACTATTGGAAAAACCATAGCTTTGATGATATACAACTTTGTTGGTAAAGTTAAGTCTCTGCTTTTTAATATGTTTTCTATGTTTGTCATAGCTTTTCCTCCAAGGAGCAAGTGTCTTTTAATTTTGTGGCTACAGTCACTGTCTGCAGTGATTTTGGAGCCCAAGAAAATAAAATCTGCCGCCGTTCCCACCTTTTCCCCACCTATTGAAGTGATGGGACCAGATGCCATGATCTTAGTTTTTAAATGTTGAGTTTTAAGCCAGATTTTTCACTCTCTTCTTTCACCCTCATCAAGAGGCTCTTTAGTTTCTCTTCACTTTCTGCCATTAGGGTGGTCTCATCTGTATATCTGAAGTTGTTGGTATTTCTCCTGGTAATCTTGATTCCAGCTTGTGATTCATCCAGCCCGGCATGTCACATGATGTACTCTACATGTAAGTTAAATAAACAGGGTGGCAATATACAGCTGTGACATACTCCTCTCCCAATTTGGAACCAGTCAGTTGTTCCATGTCTGGTTCTAACTGTTGCTTCTTGACCTGCACACAGGTTTCTCAGGAGACAGGAAAGGTGGTCTGGTATTCCCATCTCTTTAAGAATTTTCCATAGCTTGTTGTAGCCTCTTTAATGTTCCTCAAGCATGTTGGCCACACTTCCTCTGGGGTCAAAATAGCACCTACTTTTTTTTTTTTGGTCTTCTGTGATGCTTGCTTGGCTAGTTCTTGACCTTCCCTGTGGGGATCACCTTAATGTCTGTGTTCAAAACTGCAGTGACGATGAGAGGGAATCCTAGAAAAGCACAAGAAGTTGACAGAGCCTAGCACTGATTTTCTTAACTGATTTCTTGCATCTTGTAACATAAAATAACATCAACATGTCCTCATGGTCTAAGCTGTTAGGTATTTTACCTGTAGCCAAATGTCTTCTGTTCACATAGATGACATTTCTGTATGTGCCCAGATACATTGCTAGGTTCTCTAGACTTGGGTCATTCTTTTAAAGATGATTAAGTTTCAATTTCTGAATGTAAATAGTTTTTAATTTCTTTCTATATACACAAATATATAATTTCTTTAAATGAATAAACATTTTTTATACACACCAGATTTTTAAGTTGTTTTTATGATTGTTGGTGGAGCTTTTCTGTAGTCGTTTTTCCCTTTCCTTTAAAAAATTGGATCAGTTTCCTTCCTAACATCAGCCTGTATGTGACCTTGAGTGTGTGCATGCTCAATAGCTAAGTCATGTCTGACTCTTTACAACCTCATGGACTGTAGCCTTGCAGGTTCCTCTGTCCACAGGATTGCCTGGCAAGAATACTGGAATGGTCATCATTTCCTCCTCCGGGGGATCTTCCCAATCCAGGGATCAAACCTGCATCTCCTGCATCTCCAGCATTGCAGGTAGTTTTGTAGTTTTCTTTCTTGTCTGTTTGTTTTACTGCTGGGCCACTTGGAAAACTCACATATGACTTTGTGTGAAAAGTGTGAGCGTGTTAGCCACTCAGTTGTGTCTGATTGTTTGCGACCCCATGGACTGTAGCCCTCCAGGCTCCTCTGTCCATGAAGTCCTCCAGAAAGAATACTGGAGTGGGCACCATCCCTTCTCCAGGGGATCTTCCCAAACCAGGGATAGAACCCAGGTCTCCCATATTGCAGGCAGATTTTTTACCACCTGAGCCTTCAAGAAAGCCATATATGACGTGTGTGTGTGTGTGTGTGTGTGTGTATGTGTGTGTGTGTGAGTTACTTGCTCAGTTGTGTCCAATTCTTTGTGAGCCCATGCACTGTAGCCCACCTGGCTCCTTTGTCCATGGAATTCTCCAGGCAAGAATACAGGAGTGGATTGCCATTCCTTTCTCCAGTATATGACCTTAGATAATCTATATTAATAATCCAGCATACATGATTCCATATAATGTCTGTACATGGTTACACGATCAGTTTGAAAAAAATTTATTCATAAACTATGCTATACAAATGTAAGTTATCCAAGAATATGGTTGTAATTTTGTCAGTTTAACTTTTTACTTGTTATCAGGATGGAGTGACAATGTTTAAGAGTTTTACACATGGAACCAGGAATCAGAGGTCCCCTTTGGCTTTTTTTAAATTCAGATATCTTATTATGGAGTTTTAAGAGTTCTTAATATACTCTAGGTATGTCTTTTATCAAATGCATGTTTTGCAAATATTTTTTTTCATGTCTGTTTATTTTACTGTTTCAGTGTGTCTCTGTAAACTAAATATTTTTAGCTTCTATAAAGTCCTAATTATCAAATGTTTCCCTCTGTAGCTTATGCATCTTGTGTCCTATCAAAGAAATGTTCGCTTAACACAAAGTTTTAAAGATGGTCTCCTGCATTTTCTTATACATGTTTTAAATTTTTACACTTTATACTTAGGAATCATATCTATTTTGAGTTAATCATTATTAGGGTTGATGTTTGTCTTTTTGCATATGGATGTTTGATTGTTTCAGAACAGCTTGTTGAAAACACTATTTCTCCATTGAATTAGCCTGATAGTTATGTCAAAAAAAATTGACCTTATATGCATAAATTTAGTCTGTATTCTTGATTCTGTTCCAGTAAGCCCAAATTACACTGTTGTGATTTCTCTGGTTTTCATAGTAAATCCTGAAATCAAGTAGTTTAAGTCCTTCAAAAATGTTATTCTATTAAAATTAATTTTGCCTACCTTTTAAAGTACACAAAAATTCAAGAGAACAGAGTTTTAGGATATTAGTTCCTTGACCAAGGATCAAACCCACGCCTCCTCTCTGGCCACCCTCCTTCAGGAGGCTGTGTGTTTCCACCCCAGTCTCCTCAGGGCATCCTTCACGTCCTTGTTTCTCAGGCTGTAGATGAGGGGGTTGAGCATCGGGATGACCATGGTGTAGAAGACAGAGACCACCTTGCCCTGCTCCATGGACTGCACAGCTCCCGGCTGGGCATACATGACAAAGACAGTCCCAATAAGGACAGTCACTGCAGTCATGTGGGAGCCGCAGGTAGAGAAGATTTTGTGGCGCCCAGCTGCTGAGCGCATCCTCAGGATGGTCACTGTGATGTAGCCATAGGAGATGAAGACCACAATTGTCACACCCACGATGATGACCCCACAGATGCCAAACAAGAGCAGCTCATTGAGGGCTGTGTCGCCACAGGCAAGCTTGAGCAGAGGCGGCACATCACAGAAGAAGTGGTCGATGTGGTTGGAGCTGCAGAACGGGAGGCTGAATGTGAAGCTGGTCTGCAGGATGGAGTTGAGGCAGCCCCCGCAGTAGGAGCCCAGCACCAGGCGGGCACAGACCGAGGGGCGCATGGAGATGGGGTAGCGCAGGGGGCTGCAGATGGCCACGAAGCGGTCATAGGCCATCACGGCCAAGAGGAGACCCTGGGTGGTGCACATCAGGGAGAAGAAGAACAGTTGGGTGGTACAGCCAGCAAAAGTGATGACCTTGGAGGAGGACAGGATGTTGGCCAGGGTGTTGGGGGTGATGATAGATGTATAGCACAAATCTAGGAAGGAGAGGTTCTTGAGGAAGAAGTACATTGGGGAGTGCAGGTGGGCATCTAGGGTAATGAGCACGATCATGGTGAGGTTCCCTTGGATGGCCATCATGTACAGGGCCAGGAACAGAGCAAAGAGCAGGACCTGGGTCTGCGGACCTCCCTCAAATCCCTCCAGCACAAACTCCTGCAAAGTCATCACTGAAAAGTTTCTATTTCCATGGGGTGACATGACTTCAGTCCTCAGACCGTGAGAATTACACCTCCAGTGATGGTGAACTAGGTAAATCAAACTAAACTTCCTGCTGAAGACTATTAGAAAAGATCAACAGTAAAAATGAAATCTGATTGAAAGTTTAGGAGAGTTAGTTGATGACTTAGTGAAGAATTGCTAACAAAGTTCAAGATGAACACAGAAGACCAGGGATTCCACTGCTGAGAGTACTTTGCCCTGGAGATACAAATCAGTTTTGGAGAGGAAGTCTGAGCAGCCCATTGCCCAGGCAGTGACTGTTTCCTGTGTTGCTTCTTTTGTGGAACTAATGATGACAAATTGCAAAACATTTATTCGATACTCAGAACCACCAAGGATGCATCCACAGAAGTAAGTTACTAAAAAAAGAGACAGAGAAACAGGATGAAACTGAATTGGAAGAGATAATGGCCAAGTGTTTTATCAAACCAATGGAAAATATTAATCTGCAGACTCATGAGCCCTATTAAATTAAAGCAGAGTTAATGCAAAGAACAGCATATTCATATATATCAGAGTAAAAATATTTAAACCTGAAACAGAGAGAAAAATCCTAAGTGCATCCTGAGGAAAAAAAGACTGTCCCTTCAAAGAATCTACTGCAGGAGTAAGACTGTCAGTTGGCTTTCCATCCATTTGCAGCCAATTGATTTTCAACAGGGTGCCAAGACCAATTAAAAGGAAAAGAATAAACTCTTCAACAAACAGTGATGAAACAACTGGAAATCCACTCACAAAAAAAGGAATTAAAAGTGCCACCTCACACTACGTACAAAAATTAACTCAAAACAGGAAAAGATCTAAAAGTAAGCACTGAATCTATTAGAATAGAAGAAAAGGTCAGTGTAAATTGTCATAACCTGGGATTCGTTAGCAGTTTCCTAAATATAACTCAAAAACACAAGCAACAATAGTAAGAAAATGATTGGATTTCATAGAAATTAAAATATTTTATGCCTCAAAGGACATCATCAAGAAAATGAAAATAAAAACCACGAGATAAAATATCTGCAAATTATATATCTGATCAGGATCTAGTCTCCATAAACCATAAAGAACTCTTACAACTCAGCAACAAAAAGACAATCAATTTTTTAAATGCACGAAGGACTTGAATAAGCATTTCTCCAAAGAAGACACACAAATGGCCATTAAGTACAGGAGAAGATGTGCAACATCATTAGTCATTAGAGAATCAGGGCTGAAGCCCAGGATGAGATCCACTCAACCCACTGGAATGTCTATAGTGAAAAAATGGAGGAAGCACCTGTCAGTGAGGATGTGGAGGAATTGGAACCTTCATACAAAGTTAATTTAGATGTGAAAGTGGTGCAGCTGCTACAGAAAACAGCAGAGCTGCCGTATTATACAGTGACAATCCCCTCTTAGGCACGTAATCCCAGAGAATTGAAAACATAAAAGCTCGCACACAAATATTTATAATAGCAGTATTCATAATGGCCAGGAAGTGGATGTGAGCCAAATGTCCATCAAATGATGAATAGACAAAATTTGATATAGCCATAGAGTGGAATAATATTTAGCCATAAAGGGAATAAAGCTCTAATACAAGACACAATGTGGAAAAGCCTTGAAAACAATGCTAAGTAAACAAAACCAGATATGAAAGGGCACAAATTCTATGATTCCATGGAAATGTGCAGAATAGGCAAACTCGGAGACAAAAAATATATTAGCAGTGGCCAGGGGCTGGGAGAACAGGAGGGTGGAGAATACTCTGAAACTAGCTAGTGGTGATGATGGAACAACATTGTGGATATACTAAAACAAAAAGGAAAAACACACCTGTTTATACACTTTAAAATTGTGAAACTGTAAAATTTTTGTCATATAAAAATTGTTTCTCGATTTAAGCATTAAAAATTATTTTTAAAAAATAAAGAAGGAAAGTAATATAAAAACATTTATCAGCAAGATAAAACTGAGAGAGTTTGTCACTAACAGACACAAGCTACAGGAAATACTGAAAGATGATCTTCAGGTAGAAGGAAATTGATCCCAGATGGAAACTCAGAGACGGCAGAAACAATGAAATCAAGGAAAAGGGCAAAAATATTGAGATATCTAAATAAATATGGATTTTATAAAATGCTCGAAGGTTAAAACAGAGAGAGATTAAAATACAAAACAGCAAATATATGCAATTCAGGAGGGGGTAATTAGGGTACAAATAGTCTAAGGCTTTTTGCTTTGTTCAGAAAGTAAATAAAAATGCTACTGTCAGTTGTATTAATTCAAAAATACAAGTTTAATTTTTTTGTAACAACTAAGAGAAAAAGTGAAGGAATGTGAAACATCCAAAGTAATATAAAGAAGAAATGGAATAATAATATTTTTCAGTGAATGCAAAAGAATGGAATAAAAATAAAGAACATAGGCAACCTACACTGTTGCTGGGAATGTAAATTGGTGTAGCCACTATGGAGAACGGTAGGCAGGTTCCTTGAAAAAGTAAAAATAGAGCTACCATATGGTTCAGCAATCCCACTCCTAGGCATATATCTGGAGAAAACCATGGTCTGGAAGGATGCCTGCACCCCAGTGTTCCCTGAAGCACTATTTACAATAGCCAGGACATAGAAGCAACCTAATTGTCCGTCAGCGGAGGAGTGGATAAAGAAGACGTGGACATGTGTATGTTGGAGTATTGTGTGTGGGTGTGTGGGTGTGCACACTCACTGTTCAGTCGTGTCCGGCTGTGCAACTCTATGGACTGTAGCCCACCAGACTTCCTTGTCCACGGAATTTTCCAGGCAGGAACACTGGAGTGGGTTTCCATTTCCTTCTCCAGGGAATCTTCCTGACCCAGGGATCCATCCAGCATCTCCTGCATTGGCAGGTGGGTTTTTCACTACTACGCACCTGGGGCTCAGCCATTAAAAAGAATGAATAATGTCATTTGCTGCAGCATGGATAGACCTAGAGACTGTCATGCTGAATGAAGTCAGGCAAAGAGAAATATCATATGATGTTGTATATACGCCCAATCTAGAAAGAAATGATGGAAGTGTTTACAAAATTGAAACGGACTCACAGACTTAGAGAACAAACTTATGGTCACCAAGGACGAAGACTGGGGGTATGGGATAGCTAGGGAGTTTGGGATGCATTTGCACACACAGCTTTATTTAACACGGATAACCAACAAGGAGCTACTATATAGCACAGGGACTCTGCTCAACGTTATGTGACAGACTAAACGGGAAAAGAATTCGAGAAGAGTGAATACATGTGTATTAACTGAATAACTCTGCTGTACACTGAAGTGATCACAACACTGTTGATCAAGTATATTCCAATATAAAATACAAAGTTAAACAAAGTATAAAAAGAAAAATCATGATTACTTTAAACGTCAGGACAATGCCTGCCTTTCTGTGGATCAGTGGAAGTTGGGGCTCCTGAACAGCCAGGAACTGGCTGAACATGAACTGCTGAGCTGAGACAGGGGTAGAGCGTGCCTAGGCCTGTGTCGCTCTTGGGCGGTGGTCTGCTTTGTGATCACTCCTAGACGCCGAGTGTTACTCTGTGCACACCTCGGCATGTGTTGTGGTGAAGGTGGAGGGCTGGAGCACTTGTCCGCATCCTGAAGCCGTGGTACTGCAGAGGGGTCCACAGGAGCCCTGCGCTTGCTGACCTGGGGAGCAGCCGCCACCACCTCCTGGGAAGGAGCTCAAGCCAGACTGAAAGGGAACGCATGCAGCACTTAGTTTACTGCACAGATGCTGCTTTCTTACGGATCAGAGAGACACTGGGATGAGTTAGAAGTAACCCTGCCTCAAGTCATGTGAGATGAACAAGCAGTTTTTTGCCCCCTGCTTCCTCCTTCTCTAGACTTTTTCCTTTCAGGCTTGGTGACCACAGTCTTTTCTGGTCCCCACCCAGGTTCTCTGACCACTTCCCTCATTTTCTTCAGTTCAGTTCAGTTGCTCAGTCATTTCTGACTCTTTGAGACCCCATGGATTGCAGCATCCCAGGCCTCCCTGTCCATCACCAACTCCTGGAGCTTACTCAAACTCATGTTCATTGAGTCAGTGATGCCATCCAGCCATCTCATCCTCTGTTGTCCACGTCTCCTCCTGCCCCCAATCCCTCCCAGCATCAGGGTCTTTTCCAGTGAGTCAACTCTTCACATGAGGTGGCCAAAGTATTGTAGTNAGTTAAATAAGAAGGGTGACAATATACAGCCTTGATGTACTCCTTTCCTGATTTGGAACCAGTCTGTTGTTCCACATCCAGTTCTAACTGTTGCTTCCTGACCTGCATATAGGTTTCTCAAGAGGCAGATTTCTCCATCATCTTATTCTGTCTGAAATGTCTGCCTAGCTCTGTCCACCTTGTGGGTGTCACTAGCTCTCTTGTCTCGCCGGGGACCCTCCATGATGCACTCTGATGTGACTATTTCCTCCTCTGTGCCGTCAGCAGCCTGGTCATACCCCCTCCTGCTTCCCTGGTCATGTCAAACTGAAGGTATTTGATTCCCTGTCTGTGGTCTGAGGCTGGCCTTGGTCTGTTATTTTTGCACCCCTGGTATGGGGTGTATACCTTAGTACAGACCTTAGCATGTGCTCAGGGTTTGGTGGTGCTGATCTGAGCAATTCATTGAAGGTGATGAAGTAGACAGTGGTGCTCTCTGTTTATACTGAAAACTGTCCCTTTAGTCTAAATGGCTCTGGTCAGGCAGGGCTGGTCAGGCAGGAGGGTGTCACCACTTTCCCTGCCGAGAGCAGACCTGAGTGCTTACTGTATACACGGCCCTGCTGCCCCCTTACACCCATGGTCTCCTCCCACTCCTGCAGCCCCGCCGGGAGACTGCCTGACCTTACCCTGTCTGGGTGAGGGTCGTGACTCACTCAAGCCCACACATGCAGCATCTGCTCGCCCAGGTCTGAGCTCCTGACCCAGGTCTGTGCTGCGTCTGAGGTGGCACCGAGGACCCCCAGCCCTCCACATTCACC